ATATATATATGCCAAAATCCCGATAATAATCCAACTTCCTCATATTTTCCTTCATTTGAGTTATTCGAAATTTTCACCTTCGTCACAATATTCCTTGTCTAATATTTTCATCGTTGAAGTGATAATTATTTTCGTGTTAAGATAACTGGAACATAAATTAATTTTCTTACAATGTCTTTGAAATGTTAATGATACGTTATTTAGTATATTATCTATACACGAGTCAATCTAGAGTCTAACCTTACAGAAATAGAGATATTCATCATCACAAATATTCACTGCGAAAATGACTTTTTGATCAATTAGGGAAAAACAATTATTGGAAAACTAATATATTGTGTAAAATGGCTAGGAGAATCATTTTATAAAAAAGAGCTCTAACCTCACCGTTTCTGAATAAGAGTAATTTAGACGTACAAAATATTGTATATCATAATGTGAAGCTGGTTATCTCTGAATTGTTTCTTAATGCACGCGAGTAAAAGGTGCAGAGAGCCAAGAAATCTCTTCCTAGAGAGGGTATCTAAAACAAACCCAAAGAACATGGTTTTCGAATCTCAACGTATTTTACTTTTGAAGGATATTGTTACGCCATAAATAATAATATATATGCTATACTAATATAATAATATATATATATATATATAACGTTTGAATAGCGAAATATTTTCATCTTGTAATTACTTTACAATTTATAATTACGCACATATTAGGATGATGCACATTAAATGTCCATTCTCCAAAACCTCATTATTGACTATAACGAGAATGAACAAAATATTAATGTGATGAACATTTTTGGAAACATGAATTTTGCATTTATGAAAGATGATCGTATTTCAATGAAACTACGTTTGCTTAAAACTTTAAGTTGCTTTTCTGACAATCCATTTGTAACATTCTGATTAATTGACTTTATGACTCTGCTACGCCTTAAGATTACAATTCACATCGACAGCCCCTACGTCAATGCGTTAGATCGTAACACAAATGATCAAATCGCAAAAGCTACTGACTTACATTGACCTTTGTTACGATGATCGCAATTCGGCATAAATTACCATAAATTCACGGTGATCCACGTTTAAAAACACATTGCTTGCGACTCATGCGATTAATGGTATTTGCTAATCTCAAGACTCAAATCGTCGAAAGTAGCCCCAGAAGTACGTATACATAAAAATATATATATATACTCCAAAAGGCCTCACCAACATTTAAACGGTTCCGGATCGTCTGCTCTCTCTCCGGTAAATTCGGTGAACGTAAATTGTCCTTTGCACTTCTTCAACGGTGAGTTACGACATAGCGCCCGTGGCCGTTTATCATTTCTATATTTTTGTCCCTGAACTCCTTCAATTAGCTTGTCTTGATTAGCTTAGAAAACTAAAAAAATGTAGAAAAAATGTACTTTTACTCCATGGTATCAAAGGAAATGAGATAGTTATGTATGTTATATTAGCCACTACCACTTGGAAAGAACTTGAGAGAAATTATTTAAAATAATGTTACCCCATACTAAGAATAAAAGTGATTTCTTCGTAATTAGAGATATAGAATGAATTTCGAGGTCACATCATGGTAAAAATTTACATGAAACCTACGTATAAATACAGTAATACTGATGAGACTTTTTAGAAAAAATCTGATTAAAATCAGCCAAGGATATGTAATTGGTTAAACATCTTGATTATGAATCACAGTTTAACCAATAGTATTTTTTTCTGTTTAACCAACAATGTTTTTGCACAATGCATGAATGTATAGTTATAATGAGTATTTTTTCCTTCTCTCAGTAACTTCGGTATTGTTCCGAGTTTATTGTAGCATTGTGTATCGGAACGAGTGTATCATATCCTTGCTTTATTTTATTGCACGTTACCGTATATTAATATTAATTTCTATTATTTAGGAGATGAAACAAATTCTCGCTGTATGTCTCCTATTGACAGTGGCCAATGCTAATGTTTTCCGGGAAAATCATGGAAGGCCCTTGAATAGATTTTTCCACCCGGAACGCTGGTTTCCATCACAGGAGCATCAATTTGAATCACCAGGACATTCATTTCCTATACCAGAACGTTTATTTCCTACACCAGGACACTCACTTCCAACACCGGCATACATGCAAGTCTCATCAGACCAGTCACCACTCCATAAACAATTAGAAAAACTCTTTCCACACAAAGTTAACCAACAGAATAAGGCCTCAGAATCTTGTACTGCTGTGAGGATTTGTCATAATCCGTTAACAGGCGAAATCGTAAGTTACTTAGTACAACATCAATGACAGAAGTTCTTGGAAAATGTTATACATATACATTTCATATATGAATAAGTTAAATGATATGTAATTTCATTAGTGATAAGTTAGATCTTTATATTAAAGTAAATATTTTAATTTTCAAATAATCATTTGCAGATCATTACTGAATTTGATGGAATACAGCCAATAAGTAATGAAAATCTTGGTTGTACAAGTGCCAATAAGAAATATTCTGATAACGTAAATTCTAACAATAAAAATCTTGATAGTAATGGAAATGTTAAGGGGAAACTCAGAACAACTATGCCAATACTTACTACTACTTCACAACCTCAAACCAGTGAATCTCCTCATAACTATGGAGAAGGAATTATTGACATTCGAATGGGCTACTAAATACTAAAAAGTAAAAAAAGGAAAAAGAAAAGTAATATTTTCATTAAGTTTAAAAAGTAATGTATTTATTAAGTTTTATGATACATTGAACATGTACACATTAATAATATTCGAAATAAAAATAGATGCATCTGATGATTTGTTGTATTTCTATCTCGTTTGTATATTACCTCTACCTCTTCCACTATCAACAGTCATTAATGTATAAAAATGCAAAATTATCAAATATTAGACAATTCCAAATAAAATTTCAACAATTGTTAACAAAAATGTTCAATTTCAATCAAATATCAGAATACAACTTTTGTATAATAGAACTTAAATGTACTTATATCATTCTTTTAAGTTTTACAAATATTTAACACATGAAAAAAAAATTATAATGTAGCTACACAAAATTAATCCTTTTCCGAAGAGAAATCCTATATATACCTTACATATCGCTTAATCAAATCTTGTTATATTGTTTACTCGTTTCTATAAAGTAAATAAGAAGTATTTAATATCAATAAAGCTACATTTTAATTGTAAATCATTAAACTAACATCTTACCTGTATTAATTGATTATTATCATCACTGTAATTGTATTGTGTATTTAAGAAAACAATATCAGCATTTATCTTTATATTGGGATCCTTTTCTTCTATGTATTTCATAGTTTTCTTAGCAACTGCTTGAACTGCTGCAGCATTTAATGAATAATCGTCACTCGTTAATGGGCATATACCTCTGGTAATCAAATATTTCTATTAATTAATAGGGTCTAAATTAAACAACTTCTATGTGATGCATACTTGTGAAAATGCTCATATCCAGTAATTTCTTCATCACAGAGATAACACATCATACAGCCACAAACACAAGTGATTTTATTGCATCCATCCTCCTTAAAATATGGACGGCTACATCTGTGACATCTATGTACAAGTGCTTCTGTCATTTTCTCTTCCAAAAACAAACGTGCTTTCTCAGTCTTTTCTTCATAGCATTTAAGCGGTATATGATTTACCTCTTTACATAATCTATTTCAAAATATAACAGTGCATAATAATGGTAGAAATGAAGAATTTTCTCATAACATAAATTTGGTGAGTATAATTATTGTATCTTTTTAAATCGAACTTACCTACACGATTCTTTCATACATTCGGGATTAAGACATTTAAAAACATTATCTTTTAAGGGAGGTATAGATGCAAATTGACAAAATGGACATGAAACTAAACCTAGGATTCCAGCAGACATTACTTCTCTTTCTTGCTTCTTACGAACAAATGTACTAAATTCCATCGGTGTTAATACTTTCTGAAGAGTCGAAAGTCTAAATTCTCCATCACAATCTACAAAACATGGAACATGCCCATTTCCCTGTGCAATTTGTGTTTGAGTTCCACGTACAATGCACAAGTTGCAAAATATGTGGCCATCATCACATGTTGAACATTTAGATGGTATACATTCAACAAAACAGCACTGACATGTTAAAAGTTCATTTCTTTTCTAGTAAACAAATAAGAAAATGATATTATTTTCTTTTCAGTGTATAACATTTTTTTAGCGTGTATTATAATATAATAACTTACTTGTAACTCCTCAAATTCTTCATCTTCTCTTTTTTTTAATTCTTTTTGATATTCTGTAATACGATTTTTATGTTTTATAAATGCACATTCATGCAATAAAAGAATATCATCTGATAGAGTTTTTTCCCACATGGTTGTATAGTTTGTTTTTTTATCTGGTTTCATATTCTCTAAAGCGTTTGCAGTTATAGTCAAGTGATAATTATGCTGTTGATACACATTCATTAAAGTTTCCACCTATAAATTTCAAATAATGCTTTATATATCGCAAGTGACATATTATATTTTAACATACATACCTCAAATTTATTAAAATGATATTTCAAAAATTCAAGTGCGTCAGGATTGTATCCATGCTTTCTTTTTGAATTTTCAAAATATGTATGTGGAGATGGATACATTTCTAAAAACTGTTTCACATCAAATTCATGAATGTATAGCATTTGCTGTTCTGTAATACGCATTCGTCTTATTTTTTCATCTACTGTTAGATAAGTAGGACATTTACATTGATCTTCTATGAACTGGTCTAATTTAGCAGGATCATTGGCTGTTTGTACTATAACTTTTTTTAAATATGCAGGGTCTGCATTAGGAAAAACTCCTTTTAAATAATTATGTTTTTCATCTATATCATAATCTTTTTCCTGATTTATTTTGCTATTTATTTCAACAGGACATACTTGTCTATCTTCTACTATGATATTAATTAACTCCTCAAACTGTTTATCTAAACTAAGATCTGTATTTGAATATCTTCCACATAGTTTCTTAATATAATTTTTATCTAAATCAGGAAATATAAATTCTAATCTTTTATCCAGTTGCATCCTTAGGGGTATTCTAGTATTTTCTATATCAATATCTTTTTTGCTCTCACTAGTTTTCTTCAAAAACTTGATATCTTTTTTTCTAGTACCTCCAAAAACATGTTTGGTATTTTGTATAGAATAAATTCCAGTAGAAGTTGATGGTTTCACTTCTATGTTTTTAAGTGAATCTTGTGATTTTGTTACTACAACTGATACATCACTTGTTGCAGTATCATACAATGTGCTTTTGGAACATGGTGATATATTAGGCGATGTATTTTTAGGTGAAATTATTGTCCTAATAACATTTCTTTTATTATTAAATGATGAATCACCAGAATTTATTCTGTAAGGTCTTATATTACCTAAATCAACATTTGATATTTCTAACATTTTTGTTGGATTTTTTAATTGTTTCTGTTTATATATGGCAGATAATTTCTGTTTCTTAATGTTTTCCTTATTACTCAAATATTGCATATAATTATGTAATATTTGTCCATAATTCTTGCTATTATTCCCTTTATACCTTGTTTGTAGAACAGTCTCCTTACTTTTGGTATTTGAATTATTCGATGAATATTGCATGCTTAATAGGTCACTTGTTTGTTTCATAGAACTAGTTCTTTTTCTCCCATGAACATGTTTTTGCTGTGTTGATAAACCATTGTGACAAAATATCTGTTTGCATTTGACAGAATTGTCATCTACGAATTCCATATTACAAGAAATTTTTATTGCTGGCCTTTCCGTTGGTAATAAATCCCATAAACTAAGTTCTATATAATTTTCTGCATAACGATTTTTATATAAAATTCCAAACACACGATCATATTCATATATTGGCAGAAGTGTACATATTTGATGAGCTTTCTCTTTTATTTTTGTAATCTGGTAATCGTTAGAGTCACTTAATGATGTATTGCTCAAAGATTCTATAGATTTTGTTTTATATATATCACTTTGAGATAATGAAATTATATCTGTCTGCTTTTGAGACTTGTGAATAAAATCTAAATTATTATTTGAGTCATTATTATTACTCTCCAAACTTTCTCTACTGGACATAGCACATGTGTTATGATTGTTATCAGTTTTACATGTATCCATATGTAATTCCACATTAGTTAATATTGAAAATAATGGATACATATAACTTTCAGGACTTGTTTCTTCTGAGCTACTATTCATATGATTGTAATCTAAATCAAACTGATTTGAAAATATATTTGAATTGAACATTATCCATTCATCTACATCCATTTTTCTTTGGTAACTTTAGATTTGAATACTTCTATAACATACATATAATAAGGATATTTTTAAAAATTCGTTTCAACTTTTCAATAATCTTTGTCCTAAATCTTTCTGTCTTATAAAGTAAAGATGCCTTTTTAACATCAGCAATACTTACATACTTACAAGATACTTACATTTAATACTTACAAGATATTAAACAATAAAAATTATAATATATATATATATATATATATATATATATATACAAGCAAACTTAAACTTTTATTAGAGAAGAAATTTTCTCTTTTAGATAGTTATACTTTCTACTTTGTTCAAATATGTAATAATATAACAATTGTTGTTACAATAACTTACAAAAATCGAAATGTGAATAGTTGATGATACTTCTCTTAAAACAAGGGATCACTAACTAGAAGGCTTCTTTTGTCTTACAAACTACAAAATATTGAGATTACTAAACATGTAATAATGGGATTCCCGCAATGTATTTATCGATATCTGAATCGATCGAGCTTATAGTATTTTTTTAAAAGACTTTATTTATTACATATACATATATCATACAAACAAAATGTTTTCGTAGAAATACACTGTAATGTTCTATATCAATATACATACATAAATATATTCTTTTATATAAACTGAACAAAGACCAATTGCATATCCACAATCGAATTCAGAACTACCAATATATGGAACACTAATATAATATAGAAAGTTGGTATCATAGGTAAATTAAACTGAACTAATGATTACGTATAATAAATGATAATTATATAATTTTATTCTCATATATGTCGTCAATAACATGATTCTGAGCAACTTTTTCCTATATATACCGCTATATAACCGCTGCTTGGCGTTAGTTTCCGAGATATTCATGAACTTTTACTACTTTTTATATTTGAGTTAACTTTATATATGAGCATGATGATATTACTATACGTATGTTCGTTGTTCTCGCAAAGCTAAACTAATCATACTTGAGTTCCTTTCTTGTCTTTCTGTATTTACGAATTGAACCGTGAGACGTATGAACGCATCGTAATACGAATCCCTGCACGAACATATCTATGTATCATATCATCATGTTAGTACATGAAGTTAACCCAAGTATACAATCTCTACTATGTTAGGAAGGAAAGAGGAAGGAAAGGAAAGGAAAAGAAAAAAGAAGGAAAAGCGTGTTTCGTTTGAAGCCTCTTAGTAAGCATAAGTAATCTCGTCCGTCAGTCAAGGAGTAAAAGACTTCTGAACAAGGCCGTTTATTAGACCGGTTAGACGTTGGAATTTGGAATAACTATGATTAGTAAAATAAAGAGAGAAGAGTAAGGTGAAGACTGAAGTAGAGTGGAGACTTTCGAGATTTGTGTGTTTGATGTGCATCCCTCTGGTGGCGAGTATTGGAGGGCCGTCATAACATTAATACATACGTGACCGCACCCGTTTTATGTGGTTATGTGTGGTGATTCATAGATATCGTATGTAAAATTTATTGAATTCCTCAGGTAAAAAATATAATACAAAATGACAGAAGTTCATAACTTAGGTGTTGACGCTATCAGCTGTCATGCTTGGAATAAAGACAAAAAAGGTTTGACATTTGTTTGACGCGTACAGTACCTTTGCCAATCAATGATCAGAGTTAATATATTTTTTACAGAAGTGGCCATTTGTCCAAATAACAATGAGATCCAAGTTTACAAACGCACGTCGAGTGGTTGGAAATTGTTACAGAATCTACAGGAACATGATATGCATGTTATGGGTATTGATTGGGCACCAAATACCAATCGAATAGTAACATGCTCCGCAGATAAGAATGCATACGTTTGGACACAGGAAGGGGATGGAAAGTGGAATCCTGCATGGGTACTTTTAAGAATAAATCGTGCAGCAACATGTGTAAAGTGGTCACCATTAGGTATGAGCCAGCTGAAGTGTGGTTGATTTGGGTTTGAATAAATGTAAGCTGAAAAATTGCTTGCTTCCTTCTCTGTAGAAAATAAATTTGCTGTTGGATCTGGAGGTAGAGTAATAGCTGTTTGTTATTTTGTTTCTGAAAACAATTGGTGGCAGTGTAAGCATATAAAACGCCCATTAAGGTCTACTGTAACTACAGTCGATTGGCACCCAGATAATAAAGTTTTGGTTGCTGGATCCACTGATTATAAAGTTCGTGTATTTAGTGCATTTATTAGTGACATGGAAGATGCACCTGGTAATGGTCCATGGGGTCACAGTAATACTTTAGGAACATTACTTGCCGAATTCCAGAATACTCCCAATGGAGGTAGAGAAGTGTTCCTTTTATTACAATGCTAATAGAAATCTTATTGTCATATTTATTAATCATTTCCTTTCTATTTATACTCAGGAGGTTGGATACACTCTGTTGCATTTAGTCCTTGTGGCAATAAAATTTGTTGGGTAGCACACAATTCATCAATTTGCATTGCAGATGCTACTAAAGGAAATGCTGTTATACGATTGTATACAGAGCATTTGCCATTTTTATGTTGTGTTTGGATGGGGTCCAATTCCATTATCGCTGTGGTATTTATTTATATTTTCAACTGCGATAATTTTCATTGTAAATATATGACTCACAAACTAAATAATTCCTTTAGGGTCATAGTTGTATGCCTATGCTGTATTCTATAGACGATAATGGTCAACTATATTTTGTATCAAAATTAGACAATACACAGAAAAAGGAGGCTGCTGGTTTGTCCGCTATGCGTAAATTTCAATCGTTAGATCGCCAAGCGAGAACCGACACGAACGATAATGCCTTAGACAGTATACATCAAAATACTATCAACTGTGTGCGCAAAGTATCAGATAATGAATTTAGTACGAGCGGTTTAGATGGTCAATTGGTAGTTTGGGATCTCAAGGTAAATCTTATCTCTATACAATTTCTTTCACATACAATATAATCAATACAAGTATACTAACAATTTAATTTCTAATTTAGCTTCTGGAGAATTCTATTGCTGGTCTCAAGATAGCATAAGTAAAATCTTTTTTTATATCAAAGAAAGACGGAAGATGTTACATCAATTGAAAAGATGTATAAATGTTAAATCTGAAACGAAACGAAAGAAAATATACAATTTCTCATTAATACTTCAATTATATCAATTACTCCTATACAAAATACATTATATTTTTAGCTAAACATTTGTCGATATGTGTAGATAAATTAATATGATTCCCTTGCCTTGTGATCCATAACTTTAATTTAAACTTAAAATTTTAAAGCGTCAAATCGCATTTGCTAAATTCCTCTACCTCCTCCTTACGTCATCCTACACACTGTTGCGATCAATGCAATGCTCATCTCGGATCGTCGACTGGTTTGCATAGTTTCAGGCGACCCGATAAGTACGTTGGTTCACTGTTTGTCAGGCGTAAAAGGTTGGTTCGCGCCTGGAAACCACACGGTCTCGTGCGGCTCGAGTGGGGGGCAGCCGGACAAGTTCAGCGCGAATATCGATTCAGTCTCGCACAAACCACCCCCATGTACCGTGCTCGTTGCAGCAGCTCCACCTTCTAACTTTGTTTTTCGCTCGGTATCATGACTGGTACATAAACAGAGAAGGAAAGAAAGAGAAGCACCGCGGTGTAAAGGCTGTGTGCATAGTCCACATCGTGCTCTACGAACGGGAAACGGATATAGTGGCGCGTTCAATTATTTCGACAACTATTGTGGGGATGTATTAGACGCGAATAAACCAGATCATCGTCGATAGAAATGTCTGTGCCGATGATGCTTATCGATTCGACAGCTAGTGTTGAAGAGGCATTCCATCATTTGTACACTTTTTAGTGAAGTGGTCAAGTTTATTACATAAACTCAAATCGTGATTAAGGAACGTGATATTTTGTTCGTTTTATACGAAGAATATTAGTCGTCGAACGTATACTTATATCATATCGTAACGTATCTTCGTCATTATCTATCTTTTCCACTTCTTTTTCTTCGTTCTGAACTATCGTCCCCTTTCGTTTTTGTGACATATAAATCTTTCGTCAAACGGTTCACGCGACTGTCACGAGCTGTCGATTAAAATAGATCTTTCCAGCAAAACGTTCCGTCATCGATTCGCCGCATGCGACGAGCTATCTCGAAGGGTTGCGTTTCGTTCTCCTTGGCTACGCGCGCTGATACACCTGATAAATTTAGAAAGCTGTTGAACGTTATGATCGAACAACTTTCATGGAATTAACGATTGACCTTATGTGCTGGAGGAACCCGTTATTGTCGTGAAAGCAGCTGGACGTTGCAAGCGCAAAAAGAAGAACCGAAACGCAGGAAAAAACAGGAGAGTGGTAGAGGAACCGTGTAAAACTCGAAGATTGAGTTTTGTTTCCGTGGCTGTCGAATATGAAACGTTGCAACCACGGTCACACGCGTCCCTACTTGTCTTGACTACAAGTCGTGGCTGAGCAAAGGGAGTGCGCCTCCGCTTCTTGAGAGATGTCTTCGATATCAGCGCAGGGGGTCGTCGAAAGAGCCAGCGCCGAGTTGACCAAAAGAATCAACGGTCTGGGGCTAAGAGCGTCTAAACATCATGGTTGGTGAATTAATTAACATTATTTTTTTTTCTTGTAGTACGATATAGGACTTGAAGATATTAGAGGAATCATACCTCGCATATGTATTTAAGGAATTTGGAAAAATGGACTGATCGAAAAGATTAAGGAATTACCGAGTATTCAAATGCGATTTTTTTTTCAACCGAGTCGATCTGAAATTCTTAAAAGTATTTGTTAACGTTGAAATATATGAATTTTTAATACATTATCAAGAAATGAGAAATACGATCAAAAACATTCTTTTGTGATTTTCATCTTTAAAATTATTAACGTTCTGTATCTTTTATTTTGAAAATTATTAACGTTTCTACTAGATACACAATTCAATATGGTATTTACCAAGCCTTCAAGCTATTGAATAACTTGCTGAGCAATAAATTCATTCGAGTAAGGACGATCCTCTAATTATTTCAAGCACCTTGTAACTTATTTTATCCTTCATGTGAATGGTTCGAAAATAATTTTAAATCGATACCTAATTTGGAATTGTCTAGCTTCGACCTAACTTAAACATATAACTCATAATCGTCGATTCTTTTAAAGAGAGCTTCGACAGGATGTTATTACCAATTAATTTTCCTTCTCTTCCTGTCCTTTTTATTCATTGTTTCATCGTGCTGGAATCTTAAACAGTCGCCGAAGCGGGGCGATCGACGAATTTGGCCAGCCATTATTGCGTAATCACAAATACCAATTGATTTCTGTTAAACCGCAACCCCGAACCGCTCCTTGGACAATGTTTCTTAATTCTGCGTTGTACAACATTACCCGGTGCATCGTATGCTCGGTGCTGTCCCGACGATTTTCCTCCGGAACGTTCGTTAAAGCGGCCACCAAGTGGTTTTAGTCGCAATCTGAACTGCAATGGAATCGATAGCATTCGTCCTCATGCACGTGGAAACGTAGTACTTAGCCATCTCGTAATCTTTTACCTTGCATTCTATTTTCCATTTGTTTGAAAATCTGGGAAAGATATACATACATACAATCTTTTCAATGTAACTTATACCTTTATAACGTTATATCTTTTATGTACTTTTTATGGATGACTTGAGGTTTAATTTTGAATCTCATTTAGAGGTTAACTTTATGATACTTATATCTAATATGTAGTATCTAAAACTAGAGCTTAAATTTTAATAAGACGTTGTTAGGCCTCGTGTATCGTTGAAAAATATGGCAAAGATGTTGGACCATTGTCAGCTGAAATATGTATTTAACTGTAACTTATCCTGGTTTCCTATCGTTCGTATATGAATGTTAACCATCTCAACTATAGTCATACTAATATAATTTCATTTACTAACAGAAGTATATTTCTAAGAAGTATTACTCTCGAGTATTAGTCTTTTCTATTGAGTTCTAGTAGGATACGGATATCTGATACATTTGTTTATCTTAGATATACATTTAATATCAATTTGCAAAAACTGTTGAAATTAATAATGGCTAGTTAATAATGAAACATTCTAGGTATATACGTACTGTGTATGTAGTGTATTATATTGTGCAAAGAGTATATTTATAATATACTTTTAATTAAAAAATAAACTATTATATAAATAATATAAAAGTATATATGATATATACAAGACATATAAAGATATATAGAAGAGGTTAAGATGACTGCACTGAATATCATGGTTTATTAATATAATGAATACTTAACTGTTTAAATAATTTTGCAATCTCTGTGAAATACATATTTACATTAAATATCTTGTAGCATCCATATACACTTGCTAATTTGTTCCAAACTTTATCAATACAATTGTCATAATCACGCCTTGTTACAATACTAATGACATTTCGAAATGTTTCGTATAACATATAACATACCCATAAAATGTTTCCACAGATATCCGCTCAATTCGTTTGATTTCGTGCGCTACTGTAGAGGCAATAATAATGCAGTCATAAATGATCAGGCATTGTATGTTTTGAACGTGACACCTGAATTTATTTCAACCGTTGTTAATTGTGGTTAATTGTTAGCCCGAGAACATCGTATCGATTGACATGACTAGGTCGACGATTCACGGACCGGAAATATCGGTGAATCGACGATTTGTCGTGTCTGACGAGCACGAGAGCCCGAGCATCGGGTTTGCTTGAATGGGAATCCGGCAGACAAAAGGCAGCGTACGCATGCCGGTTTTCATATGGCCGAGAAGTCGCGACAGAGCAAGAGATTTATTTTAACGCGTAAAATAGGTAATCACCGTGGCGGC